CCAGCCAAGAAGGAAGTGATTTCCCTCCCCGCCTAGGCCAGCAATACTACTGCAGTGAGATACACCAGATATAGAAGTTTGACCCCTAGTGGATACAGCAGGCATACAACCTCAGCCCTAAGCTCGGGGAAGACGAGGAATGATGCGGCGTTAGGCAGGAGAGCCACCATGAAGCAGGGCCTGTATGTCATCCTCTTCGTGTACTGAAAGCCTTCATGAAACTCTTCAGGGAGACTGGCTGGTTTTCTCTGCAGTTCGCTCTTAGTACTTTCTGGAAGGCTGCTATAAAATACACCCACTCTGGAAGACTCTTCATAGGACCTGCCCAAATTAGAATTTTCCCCAGTTCTTCTGGTCAATTCCAAGAACCTCCACCTGCCATCGGACTCCTACTGAAGGGCAGGGTTTACCCCTCAGAAATGCTCAGGATGTGGGCAGTTCTCAGCGTTCCCTCCTTCATTCATTCCTTGGCTTTCTTCACGTTCTGTGTACCAAGCACTCTTCTGTGTGCTTTAGACGCATAACTCACTTAACAATTCATTTAATCATTTAATTATTTAACTAGCCTGATAACATTTGTTGAACTTATACCAACCTCTTGCAACATGTCAGACGCTATGCTTGCTGTAACATAGTCCTTCTAGCCAAGGAGTTGTGGAAACAGGCATATAACACAATGAGCTATAATTATCTGTCTAAAAGCAGTGATTAAATATGCAAAGAGAGGCACAGAATCGTGGAGGAAGGGGACCTAATCTAGGGGATAGGGAATGGGGGAAGTGTCAGGGGGAGAGGGAGCCACCTGAAGATGGTGTCACCTGAGTGCTGGAGCCTCGAGCCTGCGCCAGTGGGCGGAGCAGGGCTGAGGGTGGGGGAGAGGGAGCCAGTGCAGTGGAGAGCGGCTGAGGAGCCTCGGTCCAGACAAAAGTGGGGGCAGGAGCAAACACACAGAAGAGATAAGCAGTACGAGATGCATGGAAGCCACAGCCAGCGCAGTGTCCCTGGAGATCAAGATGGAGACAGACACTGCAAGAAATGGGGCTGAGGTGTGGGCAGGGCGGAGAAGGGGTTTAGCGCGTGACCTGCGTAGAAAATAGAAGTCCACTGAAGAATTTTAATCAGGGGCATAGGAGGGCCGATTTATGTTGTACGTAGCTCACATGATTTAGTCTGGTGGCAATAGGGGCGCATGACTGGAAATGTACAACAGTTAGGACATCTGTACTATTCGAATCACTAAAAGCCCAATAAGTGACCATCTTATCAGTGTAATAAACTACTGTACGGCTTTCTGTAGTGCACTTGGGCATCCATGATAGGGAATCAAGTTACCGAGGAAATCTTAACTTTCTTCTTTAACCTTCGTTAAACTTCACAATTGCCTCTTTTGTGTACTTGACGGGAGCCATGGATTAGGCCCATTTCTGGTTACAGACTAAAGACATTTGG